GGCTTTGCCATCTGGACAATGGCAGCCAGCGTGCTGGCTTACCCACTGCAACTATGATGCTAGCCAGCGTGCTGGCTTTGCCATCTCAACAATTGCATCCCCACATGCCGCACTGCAGACTGAACAATAACGTGTGAATCATCTGCCTCTGGTCATCCTGGTTGACGCTGAAGAAGTGGTCGTCAACAATGCCAAGGTTCCCTGGCATGATGGCTGGGCAAAGAGGAATAAGAAGGCTCTGGTTCATGTGCGATATGAATATTGCAAAAGCTTGTGGGTTGCGTGAACCTTCTTCCAAGTATATTCGTCACTGCTGTTGAGTAGATATTTTAGTAGTTAACCAACCACTATGCTTGTCATTGAGTAATTGACTGTCTCAGAGAAAAACGCGACAAAGTAGCGTGAGGTGACACACAGCAGGCACTGTAGATGTTTTAGTGCACTCTCGCTGTTCGGCTCGCGACTAGTCTTTGTACACAGCAAGGATAGCGTTGCGCTTCCGCAGAACGACGTCCACACAGAATTTATCAGGAAGAAGTCACGGTATGAGACACACAGTTGGTTGGGTCTAGCGCGTCCCCCCGAAGCAGATCTGGATGGTGTAGGCATCTGTGAAGTTGCGGCTGTTGTTCCTCACCCAGTCGCGCCATCCACTGGACCACTGGACCACTCGCCAAACCTGCGATGTTTCTCCATGGGCAACCCAGTATCTGTTTGCTATGGACTGGTTTGGCCATCTTGCATGGATGAGCTCTGGGTGGTCGTCATGGTATGTCCTGCTTCCATAGGACCAACAGAGGCACACCTGTCTCTGGTCATCATGGGTGACGCTGAAGAAGTGATCCTCCTGGCACGATTGTAAATTGGTAAATAGCACATGCATAGCTATAAGAAGGCTCGGTTTGCCAGGCTCCACAGTCGCTCTGCTACATCCACTGGATCTGCGCGATCCCAGCAATCCACCAACTGCCACCAACCTTGCGTCCAACATATTTTCGATGGAGACAGTATATATGTTTGCGACCGAACAAAAGCCAAACAAACATCAGACCCCACAACACAATTCCGGTCCACACGTGCCACGCCTCTGCGCTGTAGCGGCCGACTCTCCAACAACACAGCGAGCAAACTACTGCACTGCAATCCAGACAAACGGTCTGGCCATCTAATGCTTTGCAGTTGTTCCATCGCAGTGGTCCACGTCTCTGGCACTTCAGCTGGAAACTGAACATTCAAAGCAGAAAGGTGTTGCAAGATGGCAACGGTGGCCTTGCTCAATTGCTCCAGCTCCGCGGCCGCGCTTCCATGCCTCCTCTCAATACTTTCCAACGGAACATCTTCGCAAATACTAAGCATGGATCGCCGTAGCTGTGTCGCAGGAAAACTGACAGATGCCTTTGCTACGAGGTCTGCTGCAGGAACGGTCCGGCAATCTGCGAGCCAGCGCCAAAAGTGATACCTCACATCATTTTCCGCCCCGGGCGCTCGCAGCGGACAGAGCGACAGAACGATGCTATCCACTAGCCTGTTCCGATGCATATGCTCGCAAGGTAGGCCCAACTCCGAAGCTATATCCACCAAGGACGGCTCCGCGTTCCTCAGACGCACACCCCTCAGACGACCTCGGAGGGTCGGCGGTGCTTGGTCTCCCAGCTCCTGCGCCAAGCGTCGTAGTGACTCCGCAGTCACCGGTTCCTCCGCAGTGACGCTTGCGCAGATACATTCAACTTGGGTATCATTCAACTTGGGTATCATTCAACTTACAGGGATATCAGAAGCAGACACCTATTGGACCGCAAGAAAACAGAGTCTCAACTAAGTTCAACTATACACTGCACCCATCCCCTAACACAGATTGGGTGTCTTAACAAAGATTGAAAGTCTTATATCAAGATGTCTTTTGCTTGGTCGAATACATCTACACGTCACAAAACCATTGTAACCAATGTTGAGTGTCTCAGAAAGCTTGGAATTCTTATATCTAGATATCTTTTCCTTACTCCAAGACAGCTACAAATCACGAAGCCGTCCTCCATGTTCGGATGTGCCGGTTCCTGTCAGGGATTTTGCTTGGATACCAAAAGCAGACACCCATCCCCGAACACAACCCTTCCTGCAAAGCGCAGCTTTCCACTATCGAGTCTAGCCAACACCTACTTCAACACAAACAGCTTGTGTGCAAAGTTCAACAGCGCTCTACGCCCATCCCCTTACTCCAGCCCTCCTGCGATGAGAAGCAGTCCACTATGGATTCCAGCAGCTGCTCCTTCCGAAGGGTTCTGCCGTCGCGCCTCTGCGGCAGCCCCAACATAGCGCACAGCCGTCGCAAGTCGGTGTAGTTCTTGGCCTCCAACTCGGTCCGCAACCACGCCGCGCCTCCCTCCCGGTGTCCGTCTCGCAGGCGCTGCACCTCTGGCTCCTGCTGCCCTGCTTCCTGTATGGGAATTTGCAGGGATATCAGAAGCAGACACCTATTGGAGCACAAGAAAACAGCGGTTGAACTGTACACTGCACCCATCCCCTAACACAAATTGGGTATCTGAACAAAGCTTGTTGGGTATCTGAACAAAGATTGAAAGTCTTATATCTAGATGTCTTTCACAAAACCGTCCTCAACGTTCGGATGTCCCGGTTCCTGTCAGGGATTTTGCTTGGATACCAAAAGCAGACACCCATCCCCGAACTGAAAGTCTTATATCAAGATGTCTTTTGCTTGGTCGAATACATCTACACGTCACAAAACCATTGTAACCAAGGTTGAGTGTCTCAGAAAGCTTGGGAGTCTTATATCTAGATATCTTTTCCTTACTCCAAGACAGCTACAAATCACGAAACCGTCCTCCATGTTCGGATGTGCCGGTTCCTGTCAGGGATTTTGCTTGGATACCAAAAGCAGACACCCATCCCCGAACACAACCCTTCCCGCAAAGCGCAGCTTTCCACTGTCGGGTCTACCCGACACCTACTGCAACATAAACAGCTTGTGCGCAAAGTTAGACACCGCTCTACGCCCATCCCCTGACTCCGTCCCTCCTGCGATGAGAAGTTCTCCACTATGGCTTCCAGCAGCTGCTCCGTCCGAAGGGCTGCACCGTCGCGCTTCTGCGGCAGTCCCAACTCAGCGCACAGCCGTCGCAAGTCGGAAGTGCTCTTGGCCTCCAACTCAGTCCGCAACCTTGCCGCGCATCCCTCTCCATGTCCCTCTCGCAGGCGCTGCACCTCTGACTCCTGCTGCCCTGCTTCCTGTATGGGAATTTGCAGGGATATCAGAAGCAGACGCCTATTGGACCACAAGAAAACAGAGTCTCAACTAAGTTCAACTATACACTGCACCCATCCCCTAACACAGATTGCGTGTCTTAACAAAGATTGAAAGTCTTATATCAAGATGTCCTTTGCTTGGTCGAATACATCTACACGTCACAATACCATTGAGCGTCTCAGAAAGCTTGGAAGTCTTATATCTAGATATCTTTTCCTTACTCCAAGACAGCTACAAATCACGAAACCGTCCTCCATGTTCGGATGCGCCGGTTCCTGTCACTTGGTGGCCGGGGTTGTGTTGCTGGATATATATGTAAGTACAACCGCTGTACAAGTATTTGTAAGCTGGTTATAACATAGGCCAAGTGGTCTGTAACAGGCCCAAGTAGCATAAGTTTTGTAGCCGAACTCAGGTCAGATATAAGTAATTTATTGATGTTAACGCAATTCTTAAGTTTTTATAAGTTTTGTTAAGTGTGCATAAAAAGACTTTGATTTGAACATATAAACAAGTTGTTAAACTTATGATTTTCTATTTTTGGAAATGCAAGTTTTTTTGGGGGGGCATCATTTCTGACTTTTTTTGGCGCCATGTGGGAGCAGCCACCCTTCTGTCTTGCGGCAAGCGCATGGCTTTGAAAGCCACGTGCGCTTGTATTGGAAAGGTATACAACATCCTGCGGGGTGTGTATATAGACCATATATACAGATGTCATATGACTGTCGCGGCGCATTGCGCCGCGCGAGCCAAGGGCATTCTTGTTTTTTTGGACGTGCGTATATGATATATATTGTGTGTGCGTCGGCGTGTTGTTGACAATGAAATGACAATGTGCAATGGTGACTTCGTTGTTTTTATATGTGCATATCATGTGGTGCACGTTACGATGTGGTCATGTAAACACCCTGCGCCAATGTGGGTTGTAACAACACAATCGTGTATGATCATTGCGATTGAAAGTTTTCGTTGCCCGGCTTTTTGTTTGGCCTGATGATTGCGAATCGTGTGTGGATGTTGCGATTTGGAAAAGGGTATGCGATCGTTTTGCGGTGCGTTTTGTGCAGCCAGTCAAGCTTTAGCATCGCCGACGGTTGTGATTGTTGTTACAGTTTTGCTTTGCTTAATGATTGTGAATCGCGCGCGCGTGTTGCGATTTGGCACGTGATATTTACGTGATATTTGGTCTCTTTGCGGCTCTTTGAGCCGCAGCCTTTCAATCACCTGATAGCTTGATACTAAAACAAATGTGTTTAATGCGCAGTTGCTATGATTCTTGTTTTGCCAACTGTGCTGGGCCATACAGTTGTATATGACCCGCAGGTTCAGGTGTTTTTTAGCCATCTGCGTGCTGAGTAAGCAAGATGGCATTTGAGAGACTGCGGGCTCTTGAAAGCTATCTCGATGAGTGCAAGAGTTTGTCGAACTTCAATGAGATCCTCGAGAAGCAGTGCGCGCAGGTTGTTAGAGAAGTCAATGAACTCTCAAAACTGGAGATGGGTGAAGCTGCTCCGCTCTTGGCCATGGTCCAGCAAAACAAATTGTGGACCAAGGAGATGCAGGATACCATTTGCCAAGCCTTGACAGATAAAGTCGAGCAGTCATTGGGTCGCAATGTGCTGAGCGCCAGGTCCAACTTGCAGGACTTTGTGCACTGCCCTTTGTATCTGACTGAGGCCGACTGGGCAGTAGTCCTTGGAGATGGCAACGTAGCAGAGAAGAACCAATGCCTCATGGAACGCCTGTACAAACTTGGTCTTCGAAATCCTACCGAGGACACGTACGCTATGCTGACGACTCTGCTGCTTTTGAAAGAGCCGCACCGATTCAATGACTTTGTTCAACTACGATCATCGTATTTGGCAGTGAAAAACCTTGTGAAGAGTTTCTTGAAGAACCAAGGCAAGAGTGCGCAGGGTGCCACGCAGAACTTACCAAATCGTTTGCCTCCGACTGTGTCCGCCTACTTGCAGGAGGAGGTCAAGAATGATGTGTATGGGCCTGGAGGTGGCCCAGCCCCATTGCCAAATGGAGTGAGCATGCTCAACCTCACACAGTTGATGCAAACTGTTCCAGAAAGATCGACGAGAAGTACAATTTCGACTTTGGTGCCAAAGTCGCAACCGCATCCAGCCGTGGAAAGTATGATGCACGCCATGAACAACATGTGGTTCCAATCTATGCAATCCATGCATTCAATGTCGCCGTTTGGATTTGGTCAGGCCAGTCAGCAGGGGCCCCATTTGTCTATTGCGCCAGCCAGGCAACAATTGGCCTTGCCTGCCCCAGGTGTCACGGTACCTCAAGCGGCTTTGGCTGCCCCAGCGGTCACTGCGCCTCAAGCCAAGGCGGCAGGAGTTGAGAATCAGATTTCACAGATTGAAGTCGTGACGCCGCAGCCTTCAATGCAAGCGCCAGCAGCTTCTTCTGTGAAAGCTCCCCTTGCGATCGAAAATGGACCATCAGTCCCTGAGACAGGGGCGCAAGAGAAGACCAAGGAGGCTTCGGCTTTGTCGGTCAATGAGAGGTTGGAAGAAGCTTTGCAAACAAGAGACATGGAAAAGAAAGAAAAGATGGATCAACAGGTGGAAGAGAAGATGGATGCTCAGGAGAAGGTTTCAAGTCAGCCAAAAGATCAGGAGGCACCGTTGCTGAAGAAACCGGCTGCGGCGAAGCCGAAGGCGAAGGCCAAAGCGCCACCGATAAAGACTCCAGTGTTGAAGCGGCCTGCTTCTTCTTCACCTGCTTCAGCGCCTGCGCCAATGCCATCGACGAAAGAGAGGTTGAGGTTGTTTCCCAATGGATGCTCAAAGTGTCGTGAAGTACCAGGTTGCTGTCGCAGCTGCTGGAAGGGGAGAGGCTACCGCGTGGACTAGTGGCCGTTGTCAAACCTTTTTGCGATCAAATGGAAAAGGGATAGCTGGTATTGCTTGGTGGATTGTTGCGGGTTGTAGAGTGCGTCAGCGGCCCCTTGGGCCGCTACGTAATTGCAGCAGGGTGGTAGCTGGTTTGTTGTGGGTTGTAGAGTGCGTCAGCGGCCCCTTGGGTCGCTACATAGTTGCAGCTACGTTTCGGCTCTGTATACATCAGCAATACATCATGTGTTTTCTTTGAAAGCTTTTAGGGCGTTTAAATTTTATTTGGTTGTTGTAAGACTTTGCTGCTCAAGGTCTGCGCAACTCCTCAAAATGAATGAGGAGAAGTCAAAGCACCGCAAAAGGAAAAAGTCTAGGGCCCTTGACCCTGAGGAGCCTGATGTTTCCAATCGTGACGGCCCCCTGCGCTTCATTGAGGTCTCTTATGGCTCAGCTGATGATGTCGTGGACCCTCGGCGCACACTGCAAGAGCTTCGGGCTGTGCAGGACGATGAGACAGAGCCGTCCAGTGAGTGTGATGAGGAGCTGGAATTGGAGTTTTATGGTCGTGAAGAAAAAACGAAATCAGGGTCATGAGCAGCCCAGCAACCAGCCATCTCTGGCTCATGCTGAAGTCAAAGAAGAAGTGCAGCGTTTGCTGTTCGTGGCTATGTTGAAAGAATCAATTTCAGGGAGCGCCTGCAAATTTGCAGCACCGGTGCCGCCTGTTCATGAACCTAGCGTGCCATTTGCTGGCAGCAAATGCAAAGCAGCATCTGCGCCGCCTCCGCCTCCTCAACCTCACACAAACAGTGCGGCCAGTCCTGCGCCATCAATCCAGCCAATTGCCAAGCCTGTTCTTGCACCACCAGTTTGCAGTCCTGACGGAGTTCAAGCCACCACAGTGCCGGCATCTGCAAAGGCTACTGTCCCAGAGCGCCCTCCATGCCCACGTGCAACTGGTTTGGCTGGGACAAAGAATGAGGGGTTCTACTACGTGACTTGTTCATGGCAAATCTGGATTTTTTGTTGAAAGCCTCCACAGTTTTGCGCATATTTTTTAATGCCTGGCTGTAACTTGTTGATGCCTTGCTGAAAGTTTTTGGGATTGATGTTTTGTTCTCTTTTGTGGTTTGCTGCAGCACTTCTTGAGGATTTATTCTCATCGAAAAGGGAGTTTGAGCGACTTGTAAGAAATCAACACCGACCACGAGGTGGGAAAGCTCAGCGTGCAAAGGGCAATGGCAAAGATGGGTGATTCATGTAGTCTTTTGATGAAAAAATAACGCGAGTGATGAGAGGTGCGTAGGACAAACTGATACCTTGCGGCTCCTTGAGCCGTAGGTAATTCGTTTCGCGCGCATTGCGCGTACATTTGTCGAGATATTGTGGTTTACGTCAGGACTATACTATGCGATAATGCATGGAGTGGTGCTTATGGTATATAGATTGGCATGGTCCACAAACACAGGTTTGTTTCCATCTGCGGCTCATTGAGCCGCGGCTCATGTCCAGCGTTTGTGCGTGTGTTTGTTTGTTTGTTTATTTCCCTTTCACCATCAATGCTCTCGGAGCTTTTGTGGCTCCACGTGAAACCACCTGGTCCAATCAGTAATGGACAAAGACTTCCAACTTCCCCATGGCTCATTGGGGAATATGTCAGTGCTTGCGTTACTTAGATTGCTGATGACGGAGGCGCGAGAACTTTTTCGACGTCTGGATACCCAAAGGCTTCAAGAAGAAGATGGATCTTACCAGGGCTTCGATGACACAGGGTTTGGTCTTGGGGGGCAATCTCACCATGTACCTTCTCAACCTGTTCATCATCCTGCGCGCTGTGGAGGCACATGTTGCATCTGTGGCATTGCGTGCGTGCGTTTGGAGCCTGGACACAAGCATTGCCAGCGCAAGCGACATTTGCATTGCCGCTGACTACAGTAACATAAAAAATGCCTCTCATGGTAGCATTTCAATACATAGCAACCTTGAGGCGGCTCAATGAGCCGCCACTGATGTAACTATAGGTCTTTGAAGTGTAAGAAGAACAAGAAGCACTAGACTTTGTGTGACTTTGTATTTTCTGATGCATATATATATATATATAGCATGAGCGGCTCATTGAGCCGCTTTTGGTGTATCCGTCTAGGATGAAATACTTGTTGATCACTTATTAGGTATTGAGCAGTTACATACGCTCAAGCTATCCAAAACCTACAGAGCCCTTTTAAGTTCCCAAGCCATTGCGTCCTAGATTGCTTTTTCCCACAATGCAAACCTTGGAGGAATACTATGAGTCAGTGCGGCCTGAAAATGGCTTCACTATCATGGGTAATGGCCATGTTGTCAGGGGGAAGAATCCCAACAGTTACACCGAGGAGCAGATTGAACACTACAAGAAGGTCTGGGTGACCATGAAGCTCGAGGGATACTTTGATGAGAAGGCAGGTGATGTTGAGAATCCCAGCAACCCCTACGGCAATCCTCGCCAGCAACCCCTACAACCACGTGGTTCGTCTGCATCTAGCAGTTCCACCATGGCCTATGTTGCTACAGGGCTTGGGGATGCAACATCGCAAGAGGCCAGCGCGTCCAATGACATGCCCGACGAGAAGGGTGATCGTGGCACTTCAAAAAAGAAGAAGAAGAACAAGCCCAAGAAGGGTAAGAAAAACAAAAGACATACCTAGATGTCTGACACGTCGGAGCGCTGGTATCTTGGAACGAAAGATGTGATTATATTCGATGTCAATGAGGTGATTGCACATTGATGACATCATATAAAAATATACATGTTTATACATTATTTATACACTTTTATACATGTATAACTCTGATGTTGTTAAGTTTATACATGTATAACTTTGATTTGGTTCAAGTTATACACGTATAACTTTATATTTTTTGGATTTATACATGTATAACTTTTTACCTTTTTTGATTTATACACTTTTATACATTTTTATACATTGCGTATACACTTTGTATACAATTTTTGATTTTTATTTTTTTGATACATATACCTTTGTCTTTTTAAGCAATATATAACATTTCATCCCTTTGGCGGCTCCATGAGCCGCTTGGTTTGTTTATGTTCATTCATTGTGTTTTATATTTTTTCAATTGGTCTTGGACTGGAGACTGCCCATGCAAATTCCTTCCAAATCCATTTTGAGCGGCTCTCTGAGCCCGCAGATTCTGACGTTCTGACACAGTGCAGCATTGGATCCATCAGTCGCCTTCCAGAAGCCCGCCGAGCCCTTGCCTTGTCATGGCTGAGGAATGCCCACTGCCTGAAGCAGAACCATGTGCAACTGTGGTGGTTGAGAGTCAGACTCAGCACTCGCCTGACAACCAGCTGGGCAATGAAAGTGTCCAGGAGGGCTTGGGAGATCGAGGAATAGAGGGGTCGGGAGATAAGGAATTGTTGAGGCAGCCGTGGGCGCCCGCCCTGAGGTACCTCTAGAGCCAGTTGATCCCAACATGCCAGCCACACAGCTCTATGAGGATGGCACCAGTGGCCCTGTTGGCCCAGCCAGAGAGGACATGGCCCCGGCCAGTGGCCCTGAGACCAAGGCCCCGGAGACTGAGGAGGTGCCTCAGGTGAATCCTGGCATTGGCCCCTTCGTGGAGACTCAGGTTGTCCCGCAGGACGGCGACGGAGATCAGGACTTTGACATTGCTCTTGTCACCTGCAAGAAGTGCAATCTTCCATTGAAGCTGGAAGAAGCCATCATCAGGGGACCACGAGAACTCTGGTGTCGCGAATGTAATTCCATATACACCATGTTGCGAAGGCATCAGGCTTGGCCGCCGGCAGCCTTTGCCCAGTTGTCCGACTCTGACCAGCAATGCTTTTTTGCTCGATGCAAACAGCAAAAGGATGAGTCTGCAAGGTCACAGTTCTCTTACAGCAGGATCCGAGATGTCCTGGTCTCCAGCCTGATGTCGGAGCAGAGGAAGCAAAAAACATTGGCAGTGGGCGGTACATACCTCCCACTGTCAGTGTACAAACAGCGGGGGTACATTATCGACGAGGCCTTTACTGAAAGGAACCCATGCCAGTGGAGTCACGGACTCAATTGCTATACCTATTTACTTGCCGAGACATCGATCTCTGAGGCTGAGATCCATGCTACCGTTGAGCAGCAGGTCGTTACCGCGGAGAGAATGGTCAAGAAGCGCAAAGCAGTACGTGCTTCTGACAAGAACGAGGTGGAGGACGATGCCAGGAGCACGAAGCCCATGGTGCTTGACCTTGTTTCTGACGACGAGGATGAAGGTTCCACGCGTGATTGGCTTTCATTCTTGGTTTGCGATTTATATATACACATATTACATTTCAATTACACTGTACCTTGCTTATGTATTTATGTACAATATACTTTTCATATCTTTTCATTTTCTGCCAGATCTAAAACAAAGACTTTATTCTTGAAACAATACCTGCAGTAGTGTGCAATTCAATTCAATCCTTTTGAGCGGCTCCATGAGCCGCTCAGTTTGTTTGTGGGGATGTTCATAGTGGCTTTTGTTCATTTTCACTGTCCTTGACGTGTAAACTGCGTTACGTGCAGGTGAGAAAAATGGTCCCAGTTCTGGTCCAGCTCATCCTCGGCCAGAGTCAGAGGCTCAGGAGGTTGAGGAGAAGCAGCTCACCGCGAAGCAGCTCCAGGCCAAGCTGAAGCGTGAGGCTGCCAAGGTCACAAAGCTCGCAGCTGCTGAGGAGCGAAGGAAAGAAGCCCAGAGGAAGAAAGATGCCAAGGCCTTGACGAAGAAGGTGGTTGCTATGTCATCAAAGCTTTCTGCTCCTCTAGCAGCGGCGGTGCACAAGGCCAATGAGGTTGTGGCAAAGGCTGAGTCGGCTGGTGTGGGTGACGCTCCGGAGACACAGGCGTCCAAGAGCCAGCTGCAAATCGTTGACGACTACAAGAAGAAGACTGCCTCCTCCTTGGCTTACTACAGCAAGAATCCGACCTGTGAACTCAGCGCCTTGCCTTTCGACAATGAGAAAACTTGTCAGCAGGCAATGAAGGATTTGGCAAAGGCAGGCAGTGACTTGAAGGCAATGGTCATCAATCCAGCTGCCGCCGCTGGCAAGTCCTAGACTTGAAGATGGTGGAGTAGATTTGCAGAGTAGATCTTACGCATTTGGCGCACAGAGAAGCAACTCTGTTGATGATCTAGTTTTGATTTCTCCTTAGAGCATCCTTGGCTTAGCTGCTCAGAACATGTCGTGCGAGCAGGTGCCTTTAGCTGCAAGTGGAGCAGGTTCTCGACAACCTGATGGGAAAAGGGGGCGGGTTTGGGTTTACACTTTGTAGAAAAAACAACTAGGACCTTTTTATGTTCTTAGGCGGCTCCATGAGCCGCCTTATAATATATTGTCCTTAAACACCCATCATCTACAATGGAGATTGTAACAAATCAAACCTGTTAATTTTCTTTTGCGGCTCCATGAGCCGCCTCATACATTGCCCTTGTCACGCGTAGTGATTCATTGCGCACACCTACAATATAAAGTCGACGCCTCAACTGATACCGCAGTTGTTGGTGCAAAGTTTTTTGTGGTGACCCGAGCCAGTATCGCTATAGATATGGCGCGCGAACAAATGATACATGGGAAAAAAGAGAAAATCAGAGAGTTCAAACCCTGCTGCAGTCACTATAGAGCAGACTCAGGGACTACATAGCGTGGCCGACGAATCGCGGCGCAAAATATTCAATGCAGCAGCGAAAGCTTTAGGACACCCAGAAGAACAAGTCAAAAAGTCTGCGTGGAAGAAAATTATTTTTGACAGTTGCCCAGACGTCTTTTTTCGCGTTGAAATGCCTGGCGTGGACCCTGCTGAGCCTGTGTGTTTCTACATGGCCAAGATCCCTCAACTATTGCAGCGCATCATCAACACTTGTCCGAACTATGCTGCCCTGGTAGATGGCGTTGTGACTCGGGAACCTGGCATTTGCTTTCAGTTGATATGCTACAACGACGAGGCCACAGCCGGGAACATACTACAGCCAGAATCTTGTAAGAAGGCTTCGCTCTGGTATTTTTGTTTGAGGGAGCTGGGCTGGCGCCACTGCGACTCTACATGGCATCCATTATGTTTCATCCAGCACAGCGATTTTTCCAAAGTGCTTGGAGGGTTTGGTGCCATTGCACGAAGGATTGTGCGGTTGATTATTGATCAAGATTTGCCACAGGGCTTCCCAATCCAACTGAATCATCGTGCAACTTTGCTCAAATGCAAACTTTCTTGGATGATCAGCGATCTCGACAGCATTCGTGGATCCATGAACTTGAAGGGCAGTGCTGCAATCAGGTGTTGCCTTTCCTGCCGCAATTGCGTGAAGAAGAATTGTGGGTTAGATTCAGCCGAATTTCTTGAAATCACTTCTGACAATTTCGAAGCTTTCGTCGAACAAACTGATTCCGACATATTTCAAGTGTGGGATAACCTCCTAGTGCAGAAGAATACATTGCGCAAGGGAATATTCCAAAAAAAAGAGCAAGCAGCAGGCTTCAATGTCTGCGAGCACGCGTACCTTAGCGACCCTCTGGTCAGGGAACAGCTTCCACCATCAAGCTTTTTGATTGATTCCATGCATTTGTATTGGAGCAATGGGATTGTCGGATGGGAAATCAACTCAGCATATGAACGTTGGATGGCAACAGGGATTGGCAATTTACAATCCTTTCTCCAGCTCAGTTGGTGCACGACCCAGCAAAAATCAAACACTTGCTCTTGGAGATTCAGCCTGGCTCACCCATCTATGTTTAGTGGTGCGGCCTACAAAGGGTCAGCTAGTAACCTCCAAGCTTTTCTACCGCTCTTCCATTTTTTCTTGGAAGGTTGCATGGAGCCAAGAGGACTTATGACACCTGAACTCAACAGCATGAGGGCTCTCAGACGCATCGCTATAGAGATGCGAAAGATTCAACATATGGACACACCCATGATTGATGAGCTGAAGTCGCTACAGGCAAAACACCAAACTTTGACCATTGCAGCATTTGGCTACGACCATATCAGACCAAAACACCACGCAAGGCTGCATCATGCATTGCAACTTTTGAGAGCTGGATTCCAAGTGGACTGCTTTCCAGGGGAACGAAAGCACCGCTTTTTCAAAAGCCACATCGGTGTACACCGCTTCGATACGTTTGTCAAGGGCGACCGCGGAGCTTACAGCCACTTGATTTTACGACAAGTTTGGCAACACCATTTAGAACAATTGGTGAATTATTCTTTCTCCACATCCTTGGTGGGAAAGGAATCGCAGGATCCTCATATGGCCCAGTTGCTCGGCTTTTCCGAATGTCGTGTCAGCAACGCTGTGCAGCACCATGGTCGGACTATCTCCAAAGGAGACCTACTACTGGGAAACTATCCTGGGCAGGTGGTGTGTGCTTTGCAACACAAACAAGATCTCTGGTTGCGTTTGAAAACAATGACAATGGTGTCCAGTACTGAGTTCACGAGCGAATGGAAAAGGAACGAAGATGAACAACTGATACCAGCATCTCATGCTGGTAGAAGCCCTATGTGGTGGTTGGAGAAAGACAACGCCGTGTTCCTCTGTCTTCATTGAGGTGAAAAATATTTTGCGTGGGTAGAGGCTGATCTCAAGTGTTTGTACTAAATGGTATAGATATATTCTGTTCAAAACGGCGGCTCATTGAGCCGCCAATGTGTATATATATAGTCTCAGAAAACATGTTTGGGGTCAACCGTTTCTATTTTTGGGTCAGTCTATATATATATATATATCTGTGTTCACATGGCGGCTCAATTGAGCCGCCAATGTGTGTATTGATTGATACAAAATCACTCATATGTATATTTATATGTGTGTGTACACTATAGTTGTTACATACATTCCTGGTCCAAAATGAAGATAGTGATCAACACGGCGGCTCATTGAGCCGCCGCCAATGTGAAACATATATATACATACTCTTGGCGCAGGCGAATTTTCGCAATGGCGCTGTCCATGTGCCTGGCTCCATTGTATATAGAGAGCCCTGCAAAATTCAATCCATTGCTCAAAAATATTGCTTGAACGCAAATTTTCAAAAACCACATGGCGCCAAAAAAACCTATAGCGAGAAAACTGAAAATTTGTTAAAAAAGATATAAGTTAGTTATATCAAATTTACTAAAGTTAACGAAGCCTTCAAAAAACCAATGATCTCTCAAGTTTCTTAAGTTCATTTATAACTCCACGATGTGCCGTATGTCTGGTATCTAAGTTATATGTCAGCTACCAACAAAGCGGCCACCAAGCAGGGATTTTGCTTGGATACCAAAAGCAGACACCCATCCCCGAACACAACCCTTCCCGGAAAGCGCAGCTTTCCACTGTCGGGTCTACCCGACACCTACTGCAACATAAACGGCTTGTGCGCAAAGTTAGACGCCGCTCTACGCCCATCCCCTGACTCCGTCCCTCCTGCGATGAGAAGTTCTCCACTATGGCTTCCAGCAGCTGCTCCTTCCGAAGGGCTGCACCGTCGCGCTTCTGCGGCAGTCCCAACTCAGCGCACAGCCGTCGCAAGTCGGCGCGGCTCTTAGGCTCCAACTCGGCCCGCAACCATGCCGCACCTCCCTCTCCATGTCCATCTCGCAGGCGCTGCAACTCTGGCTCCTGCTGCCCTGCTTCCTGTATGGGAATTTGCAGGGATTTCAGAACCCCTAACACAAATTGGGTATCTTAACAAAGATTGAAAGTAGATTCTAGATGTCTTTCACGCAACCGTCCTCAACGTTCGGGTGTGCCGGTTCCTGTCAGGGACTTTGCGTGGAGACCAAAAGCAGACACCCATCCCCGAACACAACCCCTCCTGCGAAGAGCAGCTATCCACTATCGAGTCTAGCCGACGCCTACTGCAACATAAACAGCTCGTGCGCAAAGTTACACTGTACACTACGCCCGGACCTGCGAAAGAATTTCATAAACATCTGCTTTATGCTGGCTTGGCCACCTATCTATACATACATATATACATCTATATCAGGATACTATGGCAGCCAGTGTGCTGGCTTTGCCACTTTCCCACTCCACTATGATGGCAGCCAGCGTGCTGGCTCATACCCACTTCAACTATGATGGCAGCCAGCGTGCTGGCTTTGCCATCTGGACAATGGCAGCCAGCGTGCTGGCTTACCCACTTCAACTATGATGGTAGCTCAACAATGGCAGCCAGCGTGCTGGCTTACCCACTTCAACTATGATGG